CATTAAGTTGTCTGTCAGCTCCTGCTGGCAGAAAGAGGTACATGAGCTACAGTCAGAACTCTGTGCCTCTTGGTCCTTGTGTTAGGTATCAAATAGTAAAGAAAATGTGCGTGTACTCAGCCTTATGGAAAAGTATTTAATGTTTGCTAAAGTATAATAGAAGAAACATAGGCCAGTCGCAACAAAGAACAAATACTATGAAGAGCATAAAAGGAGTAACACAGATACTTCCCAGGTAATAGTAATTAAAAAAAAAATCAAAACCCACAAAGAGAAACACAGAAACTGTGTTTAAAATGCAAGCACACTGAAAAGTCTTGGTTAAAGTAAATGCAGAGTACAGGTATCAGATATCCCCTCCCAGCAACTTCCACAGAGCTGCTGAATTTCTTCTCCCTCTGAAAGGTCTGCAATGTTTGTCTCTCAGTGTGTTGGCCACCAAGGACTCCTGATACGGTTCTGCTAATGGTGCTTAGTCTGTGCTTTTGAAGTTCTCTGACTCGTGCCAGGCAATTACATTTTTCTGGAAAGATCAGCCCCATTTCCAAGCCTCAGCCTAAAAATGGGCGTACCGGCCCAAAAAGGAACTTCAGGACATTTTCCATGGTGCTGTCTGAAGAGAATAAAAAAAGTCAATGTATCGCGTTCTTTATTAGTTTTGTATAATAGAAATGAAACATAGAACAGCTCACCTTTCAGCTTGCTGACCTACAGACCCTACAGGAGGCCTCTGCAGGTTGTTCTAGGGAGAAGGGAGGGAAAATCCCGTTGCCGAGGGCCGCCGTCTGCGCTCACGTGTAAGGATGTTACGTGTTTAGGCGGAATTTACCCTGGTGTGCGTTTCACAGAGGAACACTAGGAACTTTTCCATGGAAAGCTGTCTTTCATCAATTCTTAGTCTTACAAAGGAATGATTGAAGTGTACAGTAGGATGAAGCTTGTACTCTGTCGAAACGTTTGATGAGCATAACATCCTGATCTTTAAACTGTTGTGCGTCGTCTGCTTATAAGTCATGCGTATTCAGAGAAAGCTGGCAGCAATACTGAGTACTGAGATCCTATTAGAAACCTAGAAGCGTTCCTCTTCCTCTAGTCCTAGAGAATGCCAGCTCATCTGGCTTGGTGAAACAGACTGTCCAGAGAATTGTGTGATCGTTTTAGTTGTTACGATGAAGTATTAGGTGGCCGGCTGGAGTTCTTCCACTGTCAGTAAAGCGAGCCTTAGCTTGTGAAGAGTGCAGAGAGTGAATACTCAGAATAAAGGAAAATCTCTGGCAGGAAAGGTTTTATACCGCACAGCTCAGCGGTACTTCCCTGGTAGGGGACAACTGTACAGGCACATGTGAAGTGGTTTCTTGCGTGAAAATCTTATTCAGTGTACCAGGAAATTCTCTGCTGTAATGGACGGTGATGGATATCTGCCAGTCTGGTGAGAGGGACTAGAGGCTGGCTGGAATGGAAGGTAACACAGAGCACCGTCCAGAGTAATTAATTCTAATCACTGTATCTAATTATCCTTGAGGAAGGAGTTTGTGCAGTTTGTTCAGGAAAAAATCTGAGCATTTCAGAGATGCCGTGTGTGTAATTAAGCATGTTTTAACTGACCTAAAGTGATAAGCAAAGTCACTGTTCAAATCTTTATGAAGTTGGCAAAGTGATGTTTGGTCGCTGTGCACTGCTTGGTGCCAGCGCAGTCTGTGCAGTCAGGTTCACAGCGTTCCGTTCCTGCTGCAGTGAAACCCCGTAAAGCATTGCTGTGAAATCAAGGGGAAGTCTGGTTTGACTAAGGACTTCTTACCTGTGTCATACTTTGCTGGAGAGGAGAAAAGGTGCAGCTCTCCTGCTCTTTGATGCAGTCTGTAGGCCATGATGTGAAAGCCTTCAATCCTTAGTAGAAAAGAGAAGAGCTGACATTACAACGGATGTTACAAAATCCCCGTTTTTCTTTTAAAGAAATGTCCTGAAAACCATAAATATATGTACCTGAGAATATCTCTCTTCAAGCTGAAAATAAGACGCAAAATTTGAAACTGAGAAGTAAATTCAGCTTGGTAAAATAAGAGCTAAAAGAACTTTTTCCACTTTCTTGTTTTTTCTTCGGATGTTGACAACGGTCTTGCTGAAATACTGAGCTCTATGAGATTCTTGTTTTAAGCAGTTGTTAAAATCTCTCAGAGTTTTCAGCATCCATATAAAATACTTTATTTAAATATAGAGTAGCTCTACCAAGATTCTCTATTTCATGAACAGCCCATATCTGAAAACATTGAGCATTAGAAGAGATAATAATTCAGTAGTTTCTCATCTAAAAAGATGATGCTCTTGCCCAGGGAAGGCTTTGATAAACGTTACTGTGATTTAAAGGTGTAATTTAAGGTCATATTAGCTAGCCCAGTAAAACCAAACATTTTCAAAACTCTAACTAAGGCAAAGCATGGAATCAGCTTATTAGTGTAGTTTCCAGCAGACCTTTAAAACCTGGTTTGGACAGCAAAGCGGGCGATGTGGTATTCTGTGTTCGGCCTATTTGTGAGCTCCACAGAGCTTCCAGCCTGCCCAGGTACAACAGGACTTCGCAAATGGTCTTTTGCTTCAGTCTGAAGAGCTGAAGTTTGTTTGCTTCAGCTGCTCGAAAGGAGAACAGAAAAAGGTACAGTCCAGATCACACTTGCAAACTGACAGAAGTTCATTAAAATATAAATGAAATTCTTTTTCATAAGTGCCCAGTAGGAATCAGCGAAAATATAAAATCTCTGTAGCAGTTTAAGGATGTACAGTTAGAATGCCAAAATTTTAAGTGAATTTAGGTTGAATTTATCAAGTTGCTTTTTTTGGGAGGCAAAAAGTTTGACAAGAGATTCCTAAAACTGCAGACACACCGGTGAAGCAGTGTCGCGGTAGGGACAAAGCACAAAGCATTCCTCCTGGCTGTGGAAAAGCTGCGTTATTCCTCTCCTCTGCCTCAGGAAATTTAAACTTACTTTTCCTGTGTGCTATGCTATAGCTCAGTTCCTAGATAAGAGGGTACTTCAGAGTGAGAGATGTGTGTTAGCTGTGGTTGATGCTATTTTAAGCAAACAAACATTTTCTAGTATAAATCTGAAAGATAGCTTTCTTACCTCTTGAGTGAGTGCCACAACCCCTACAAACAGTGTCCGTTTCTCACGGTCTTTTTCTTGCTTTCAGTGAAAATGGAAAAGCGAATAAAGGAAAGAATCACAGCAAATACAATCATACGACTTTTCAAAAGGTTTTTACTTAAAGATAGGTAAATAGATTTATTTTAACATAACAATAGTTTGGCAAAAATAATTTCTTTAATAGGCAGTATTTGCTTAGGAAATTTTGAATTTGGATCTTGGATAAGAACAGAAATAAATAGTGAGTTGTCAGGAATCCTATTTGAAAACCACCTTATTTTGGTAGCTGTGAGAATTTTTCCTTTCCTTGAGGTCTGTTTTGTACAGCACACTATCCAGCTAGAATTTCTTAAGCTTTTGGTGAAAACCATTCATCATTAAGGTATTTTCCACTGGACTTCAAAATTTAAATATGTGTTTTACCAAACCTAAGTAAACACCACTAAATTAAACAAATTCTCTATGCCAGCTGGAAATGGGATGCAAAACTTTCATGATTTTTTTTCCCTTCAAACAGATTTTACTATCCCTGCACCCTAAGTTGCGTGAACAGAGTAGGTATGTGATCGAGCTGCATTACGGACAGAGTTCTGTTGTTCTTTGCTTTTTCCCTGTTTGTAACCAGCAAATCCCACTATTCAGACCGTTGTGCTGAGCTGTTTGTGTCCCGTGTTGGCACGATGACAACTAAACACATCACAGGCATGCACAAGCCAGAGCTTTGGAGTCTTGAAACAATAGTGCTCTTCTGACTGCCAGCGTCGTCTTGCTCCCTAGAAACCGCGCTTGCGAAGCCGTGATTTCGGGAGTGATTTAGTTTTCAAACTGTTACAGCAGAGGAGTTGATCTGTTCACTAAAGAGAAGGAACAGCCCCGAAATAACATCTCTGTTTATTACAGAAATAGGTGTCCTTCTGTGCTTAAGTGTTGTTTTGCTCTCTGTGTTAAGTTACTGCACTCTGGTATATAGATGGACTTGATATTTTGGAGAAAGGGCCCAGAAAGACAGCATGAACAAAAATGTGAGTAACGTGTGGCTGGCTGTTTGAATACCAACATCGCGGTCGGTTGGCCAGTTCTCCACGGCCTCCGCGTGGCTGGGGAGACAAACTTTTCAGCAAGGCCTGTTGCAGTAGGACAAGGGGTGGTGGTTTTAAACTAAGAGAGGGGAGATTCAGACTCGACATGAGGAAGACATTCTTTACGCTGAGGGTGGTGAAACCCTGGCCCGAGCTGCCCAGAGAGGCGGTCGATGCCCCATCCCTGGAGACATCCAAGGCCAGGCTGGACGGGGCTTTGAGCACCCCGATCCGGTGGAAGCTGTCCCTGCTCCCTGCAGGGGGTTGGGCTGGGTGGCCTCTGAAGGGCCCTTCCCACCCAGACCGTTCTGTGATTCTATGGTACATGGCTAGATCCCAGGAAATTGAAATTCCCTTGTTTGTTCTTCACCGACGTTGTTACATATGACATAGTTACTGCTTTTCTCTGCTTTCCAGTTTTGCAAATTGCCTTTCACTGTCAGTGATGTGCCAGAGGCTGAATGAATGTGAAAGATGTCTGATCTTTAGATTAAAGGTGGTAGAAAATGCAAAATTACAATGATTTTATTATCACAAAATCAGCTTAAAACCGATAGACTGTGCGGTACCTGAAAACCAGTATTCCAATGTATTTCGTCTTCTGTACGTGTGAAGGTTTAACTCTTAGAGGTGTTGTTCTTTGTTGCTCTGCATATGAAGTCGTAGCTTGGATGGATTAAATAGGTGTGCATGGGAGAGAGAACACATATCATGTGTATGTATATTTGTAGAATGTGGTTTCCCTCCTAAGCTTTTTCTTTTGTTTTGCTTTATTTTGCAGTTTGCCCAGCTGGTATCTGTCTACAAAACTTTGGGTCCAGAGAAGTTCCCTCTAATTGAGCAAACATTCTATCCAAATCATAAGGAAATGGTAGGTACAAATACCAATACTGAATTTGCTTACTGTCTCTGTAAAGCAGGAACTGTAAACACACAATTCCTTTCCCCTATTTACTGTGTATTTTAAAAGCCGTTTTGGAAGCTGTCAGAGGGATGAGACTGGGTGAGTGCTTGAAAGCGTTGTGCTGGTTAACTGGAAGATGTTCAAAAGCGAAGGCAGTCATTTTTCAGCTAACAAAATTCAGATCTTAAAGTGATTAAACACTTGTGAAGACACAGAACAATTACTGAAGTGCAAGAGTTACTTTCATGATTTGTTTTCAGCCTAGTCCTTTATGATACATTAAAAGTGTTGATTCTCTTTGTAGATGATGCACAAGGCTGTGGGCCTGTCGGTGTAGAACTCTGAACTCATCTGAATTCAAGGTGGTTATGGCTTGTGATCTTCATGTACCCGAGCTCATGCTGGTTCCCGGTCCCTTACAGATATAAATGCATTCACAGAAATGACACTTAGAACCTTTACTCATGAACTGTCGTATGCTGCAGACATTTTTATCTTAATTTTCTTACAGTTCTAAACAGAAATTCTTTCCTGAGTCTATTTTTCTAGAGGAAATACTTTTCAACCCTGAGATAAACTGGAGGGAGGCTATTTGCTGATTGAATAGACTAGCATGGGAGCATCAGTTATTTTTAGAATATAACCCATTCAGCATGTGTCACACAGCTGTGACTCAGGTACCGCTGGAAGGTCGTGACAGTGAGCTGTGTATGTGAGGTCCCCACGCTGTAGTTGCCGTGTGTCTGTCTTCAGACTCGGGCTAGCACTTCGTTCACATGGGTGGCACCTAAGAGAAGCCTCAGTGACAGCAGCTGACTGAGATTGCTGCTGAAGTCTGCTTGCTCCCACGTCCGTCTCGTCTTTTGGCAGTAAACACCGTATGGTGCTGTTCTGCTGTATGTTTTTGATGTATTGCAAGTGGGGCAGGATGGCTCTCCATACTGCTCTCCCAGTTCTCTCTGGTTCCTTTGGACTATTAACTCACAGATGTTTCCACTTCTCCTGTCAAGTATGACACTTCTGAAAGAGCTTTCACCACCGTTACGTGTTTAGTAAATTTGCTACACAGAAGTTTTGTAGAGCCAGAGGAGAACGGTACTGATCTGGAAGAGCAGATCTCAGTATCGTCCCAGACAGTCAAATCTTTTCAGAATGGAAGGGGATTTTGTTGTTGGATTTGTCAGGAAAATATACAACTTTATATTTTTTTTTTTTTTTAAACGCAAAGGAAGTGTTCTGTGCCTGAGGGATTCATTCGTAACAGGTGGAGAAGCAGAACCAGGTTCCATATTTTCAAATATGCTTTTTTAAATGGTGATAAGTTATATATCTCTCTTCCTGATAATGTCCGAGATTAAAGCTGGTTTATAATTTCCTTCCCACAATTTATTGTTCTTACCTCATTATTTTATCAGCTATTATTTGGGCTCCCCGGGGCAGTGGTCACGGCACCAGGCCTGTCAGAGTTCAGGGAGCGTCTGGACAGTGCTCTTAGTCCTGTGGTTTAGTTTTAGAAGTCCTGTGAGGAGCAGGGACTTGGGCTTGATGGTCCCCATGGGTCCCTTCCAACTTGAGATATTCCAGGAGTCTATGATTTTATTGAAAAAGCAGGCCTTTTTAGTGCACTGCTAAATCACAGTACATAGAAACAAAGAAAATATCCTATAATTCTGGGGAAATAATTAGTGTGTTAGCTTTTAATTTTTGTGTAGTATGGCCCTGTGGAAGGTCTGCCAGTTCAATAGCTAACTGCTGTCTTGAGCAACCGATTGAATTCAAATTCAGGAATAGAACACAAACATGAAAATGCTCGTAGGTGTTCGTTAGGCGAATGTTGCTCAAGAGTGTAACAACTGTTTGAATGTTTTTTCCCCCCCATCACTGCTCTACATTGCTCATCAATCTCTGAACTGTCTTTTGTTTGAGCTTCTGAATGGTAATGTTCTCCACAGCCGAGTACGTTTTTTACATATTTCTACGTGATGTATGTTAATCTGGGGAGAACGAACGCGTTTTGGTACCGCACTGCCATACGTGGTCTAGAGCTGCTGCAGTCACTGGCTGTGAGCAAGCTGACGTATTTGGGTTTTCTGAAGAAATTATTTGGGACTTTGTGGCTTGAAAAACAACCAGGCAGCAGATTTCTAGAATGGGTTGTAAGATGATATGGATATCGGAATCTTATAGTGGATGAATTGAAAACACATCATGCTATTTAATTTTTGTTGTTTTTTAAACACAGTTATATTAATAGCTGGCCTCATTTGCATTTGCTTTTACAGAATTTGGTATTTACAGTTTCAACTGGTTTTTTGTAGTTACTTT